ACTTCCTTGTTTCTCCAGGATTGAAAGGAATGTTGTAGAATTGGCAATTATTAAGAGTGATAAGCAGTCATTATACAATATCAGTGATGGGTTGTTCAAATTAGATGCATTTTCAGTTGAGGCAATAGTACACAGTCTAAAATTGGGCTCCTATATGAATGCATTAGACTGTCTTAAATGTAGTGCCACACCGAGGAATAAGGGCCTTTTTTTTTCCTACAGTTTCTGAAGGATGAACCAGAGTTTGCCTCAGAATTATATGGGTTGAATAATGGGTTGAATAATGGGTGGCCGTCTTTCTTGTTATTACAGATGCCTCGCTCATTAAATGAGTTTAAACACCCCCATTTCCTTTAGATAACTGTTAAAAGTTTCCCCTATAATTGTTACCGTTTTCTCTCACTTTAAATGGACACACTGTCCGGTTGGAGGCTACCCTATAATTTCCTGTGACTTCTATATCACTGACAATACATTTATGCATGTTAAGTTATTGACATCATAGTGGAATAAGCCCAATTTTTTGTTATTGCCACGTTAATTTTGTTTATGTTATTACAGTATCAATGCTTGTGGGATTTTTCTAATGCTATAATATTCATCCTTCTAGCTGTGGGCACTGGTGTGCCTGGGGGGGCACCTCCTGTTTCCTTCTCTCTCCCTCACTCACTCAGTGAATATGGTCCTTTGGGAACGTACTTACTTAGACATTCACCTCTTTCCTGCAATTTTGCACGCTCCTGATGATGTGTTGATTGCAACACGAAAGGCCTACAGCTATCATTTTACTCCCCCCGTGGTTGTTTTGCATCCTGTATCGCTTGGGTTGGGATATTTGCATTATATAATATATATATATATATTATATATATATATATATATATATATATATATATATATATATATATATATATATATATATATATATATATTATATATATATATATATGTCGTGCCGATTAGGTAAAACTCGCTATTTTGGCTTAAATAGGAATGCACTTTTTGCCGAATATGGCAGCGAAAATTTGTGTATGCAATAATTTCTCAAAATTCATTCTGTACCTAACAAAATATATATATATATATTCATTGTGTTTGTTTTTTACAAATTATTGTAAACTTATCTAAAATATATTTAGTAGGATTAAGCTCAATTAAATTGTGCTTGTTATAATAAGGTTAGGTAAGTTTTCTAAGGCTCTTTTTGGTACAAAATTATTAATTTTTACATTAATATAAATGAAATAAATATATCTTAATTTTAAATGAGATTCTTGCTAATTAACCAATTTTACCTGCATATATACATACATACATACATACATATATATATATATATATATATATATATTATATATATATATATATATATATATATATATATATATATATATATATATATATATATATACATATATATATAAACATATACTTCATTATTCTTCCTCAGCAAAGGTGCGCCATTTCGACAACGCTTTAACCAGTTGTGTTTGCAGTTAAAAGGCTCTGGAATTTCCGGGAAATGGATTAAAGAGGTGATAGCCAAAAGAGTGAAGGAGAACCGAGAAGGAACAGCACTCAACTCTCAGCGATCCTTGGAAAGCACACAGAAAGCGAGTATCTCTCACTACAACATTACTAAATTTTGTAACACATCCAGTATGATGATTCCTAAGAAATTATTTCATTTCAAATATTTTTCACTTTCATTTTTCACCACAACACACACACACACACACACACACACACACACACACACACACACACACACACAAACACACAAACCTACTGGAGTTCTATGGCATGGTGACAGCAGTAAGACAAGAGAGAGAGGGGTGGGTGCATTGCATTTTCTTGAACTACAAGAAGGCGTTTGACACAGATCCACACAAGAGATTAGTGCAAAAACTGGAGGACCAAGCAGGGATAACAGGGAAGGCACTACAATGAATCAGGGAATACTGGTCAGGAAGACAGCAGCGAGTCATGGTACGTGGCGAGGTGTCAGAGTGGGCACATGTGACCAGTGGGGTTCCACAGGGGTCAGTCCTAGGACCAGTGCTATTTCTGTTATTCGTGAACGACATGACGGTAGGAATAGATTCCGAAGTGTCCCTGTTTGCAGATGACGTGAAGTTGATGAGAAGAATTCATTCGATCGAAAACCAGGCAAAACTGCAAAGGGATTTGGACAGGCTGCAGACCTGGTCCAGCAATTAGCTCCTGGAGTTCAACCCCACCAAGTGCAAAATCATGAAGATTGGGGAAGTGCAAAGAAGACCGCAGACGGAGTACAGTCTAGGGGGCCTGAGACTGCAAACCTCGCTCAAGGAAAAAGATCTTGGGGTGAGTATAACACCAGGCACATCTCCTGAAGCGCACATCAACCAAATAACTGCTGCAGCATATGGGCGCCAAGCAAACCTCAGAACAGCGTTCCGACATCTTAATAAGGAATCATTCAGGACCCTGTACACCGTGTATGTTAGGCCCATATTGGAGTATGCGGCACCAGTTTGGAACCTACACCTAGCCAAGCACGTAAAGAAACTAGAGAAAGTGCAAAGGTTTGCAACAAGACTAGTCCCAGAGCTAAGAGGTATGTCCTACGAGGAGAGATTAAGGGAAATCAACCTGACGACACTGGAGGACAGGAGAGATAGAGGGGACATGATAACGACATACAAAATACTGAGAGGAATTGACAAGGTGGACAAAGACAGGATGTTACAGCGATGGGACACAGTAACAAGGGGACACAGTTGGAAGTTGAAGACACAGATGAATCACAGGAATGTTCGGAAATATTTCTTCAGCCACAGAGTAGTCAGGAAGTGGAATAGTTTGGGAAGCGATGCAGTGGAGGCAGAATCCATACATAGCTTTAAGCAGAGGTATGATAAATCTCACGGTTCAGGGAGAGTGACCTAGTAGCGACCAGTGAAGAGGCGGGGCTAGGAGCTTGGACTAGACCCCTGCAACCTCAACTAGGTGAGTACGACTAGGTGAGTACACATACACACACACACACACACACAACAGGCAAACACAAGCACACACCCACTAACACACGCAAACATATACACGTACTCACAAACACACGCAGTCACACACGCATGCCAATACAAATAATCCCACCCACATACTAGTACATGCATATGCACACACACACGCACTTCTGGCAAAGCCAGATGCTGTGACTTGACCCTTACAACCAGAAATAGGTGAGTGTACACACACATGTCTAAAAGAAGCATTTACACTCACACACACAAACAAACAAACACACAGTAGCGGTCAGTGAAGAGGCGGGGCAAAGAGCTGAGTCTCGACCTCTGCAACCATAATTAGGTGAGTACGCACACACACACACACACACACCCTTACACATAAAGTGTAAAGTTCAGGGTAACTAATGCATTATAAAAAACAGGATCCCAGAAAGTAGGTCGAAGAGGCAAGGGAATTGAGGAAAGTTGATATGAGAGGGAACTATGGGAAGCAGGGCTCAAGAAAACGATGGAACAAAAGTGGGAAAGGTGGCTAAACGAGTTTAACAGCTCAGTTGTGGAGAGGATGGCTGAAGAGAGCAAGAAGTGGAAACAACGAGGTGTACCTGCAGAAGTTCGGATGCAGAGCCTACTAGACAAGCTGAAATGTTGAAGCAGGATTCAGTGCTAAGGATCGAAATGGAAATGGTGTTGAGAACACGCATATCAGTGGACAGTGAGGTAACTGAAGGATGGGAAGGAGAAAATAAGTTCTGTGCAGAAGTACTATAAGGCCACTGAGCAATCCAGGAAATGTTATGGGAAGCAGCAATGAAGATGGTTAAGTCAGACCCAGAGATACGAATGGAAAAGAAATGAGAAGAGGAGAGGGACAGGTCAATAATTTTTTATGGGCTTTAGGAGATTGAAAGGAGGACATTTGAAAAAAAGATTGCAGAGGGTCTAAAAAGGATTAAAAATATCATCGAACAGGTGAGAAAGATACGACCGAGCTCACAATTTTTCAGAGAATTGGGGGATATTCGAGAGGAAAAACATCGCCTTGTCAGACTGACATTCATGATAAATATGGCATTAAACAGGATCTTGCAGGAGAGACTACAATTAAAGAATTCACAGTTATACCAACAGGTGTATCTCGAATAGGTGTATCTTCAATAGTTGGGATTTTCCAAATAAAAAGAATTTCACACACAAAAAAAAAAAAACATATCCGTGCCCCATACACAAATTTTTGTGGAGCAGCTAATGGTAACTGGGCTTACGTAGATGTTTCCAGGAGAGAGTGAAGCCGGGATCTTGACGACAGATAGAGTAATTTCGTGTTTTTGTATTAATTCTGTAGAATGTGAACAAGATATATATATATTGGTAATATATATTTATCCCGTTTTATGGTTTTATGAGACTTTCTCGTTTTCCCATGTGTTTCTGTTATGATACATCAGATGTGTTCAGCAGCAGTCTATGACTTGTGTCATAGACTTTAGTCATTTCTTTGTTCAGTCATCACTGACTGCAAGAGAGCAACACAACTGTTTCATCGTATAAACAATAGAGGAAAATAAGGTTGTCCTCAACTATTATCTACCTCACTGAAATCATACAATCGATCAAAGGAATATATTATAAATCATGAATGCGATGAGGCAGTTAATTCTAAATATTTTTAACACACCGGCCGTTTTTCACCAAGTAGGTGACCTTAAGAAGAAGTTCAAACGTATTAACAGCCATTCACTAATTCACTGTCATTCCAGAGTCGTAGTTTACCTGGAGATAGTTCCGGGGGTCAATGCCCCCGCGGCCCGGTCTAGTAGTGACATCACCATTCGAATGGTAGTCCGTTTTGAAACATCTTCGCCCTTCCTTTTGAGGGAGTGAAGAACTGAGAATGTATGTTGGTGTAAAGACAGAAAAATAAGATCATAGTTGTATCTTTATTGATGTTAATTAAGCCTTTCTTTAATAATTTTCTACATTCCACAGGAGGAGAAGACAGAGGCGTTGCGGTTATACCAGTTGCAGGGTGCGTTCTATTTGATGTTTCTGGGCTACGTCACAGCTTCTTTTGCGATGCTGGGAGAACAGATACATAAATATCTTATTGATCTCCAGTAACCCTGTGTCCTAACTTTGTATGAGCATTTCTGAAAAAAAAACGATGTCAGGTGCTTCTCGTTTCTTCAGCATTGTTCTGCCACCATCACTCAGCTTGGGATCCTCAGAGAAAAAACATACAACTACTTACATTACTTTTGTTCGGTGATTCATTGTTAATAAAACTGGTATCACACCAAAAAGGAAACGAAATGTTTGCTAACGTATGGCAAGATAAACAAATATTTTGACTTCTACCATTCGCTTTTTCTTGTGTTGATAAGTAAGAAAATAAGTACACTTAGAACTAATGAACAAATTAGTACCCTAAGGACTTATTCACACCTAATCTCTCTCGCTCATAAACCTATTTAACAATTTCGTTAACATATTTAAATTATTAGGTTAAATACGTTATATGCAAGTTTATTCTGCTCACCGTCATACACTAAATTTCAATATAACATAAACTAGATTTATTTAATATTCATGCATAGTTATGAGGGATGTCAACACCCGACAACAGAATCTACGTTAACCTTCAATGACCTAAAAAAATTAAGAAAATTTGAAAAATTCTATCATCATTTTATTTTTCCCGTAGGTGTACATTCCTTCGGTTATGAGGTACTGTTTTTGTTTATACCACACACTGTAAACAGTTTGATAAAGTAGACAATGTAAATCTTTGTTTATACCACACACTGTAAACAGTTTGATAAAGTAGACAATGTAAATCTTTGTTTATACTACACACTGTAAACAGTTTGATAAAGAAGACAATGTAAATCTAGTGTCCGTTCTTTGCTTTACCTTCATTTCATGTGTGTGTCTTTGTGTGTGTGTGTGTGTGTGTGTGTGTGTGTGTGTGTGTGTGTGTGTGTGTGTGTGTGTGTGTGTGTGTGTGTGTGTGTGTGTGAGTGTGTGTGTGTGTGTCTGTGTGTGTGTGTGTCTGTCTGTGTGTGTGTGTGTGTCTGTGTGTGTGTGTGTATGTGTCTGTGGGTCTGTTTGTGTGTATGTCTGTGTGTGTATGTCTATGTGCGTGTGTCTGCGTGTGTGTGTCTGTGTGTCTGTTTGTGTGTAGCTTAATAAACCGAAAATACCAAATAGATCAACTCCCTTAATAAGTATACTTGTCCCCCCCAAAAAAATCTTTTACAGACTGAGAGAGAATTTTATTTCATTGACAATAATATGAGTTCTTTTATTTTTAGACCAAAAATAAATTAGAAACCTCGCTTAACGTTACATAAACCAACCTCGCTTAACGTTACACAAACCAACCTCGCTTAACGTTACACAAACCAACCTCGCTTAACGTTACACAAACCAACCTCGCTTAACGTTACATAAACCAACCAAATATTTTTGCAGTTACCATTTAATAACAATTAAATAAAATCTATAATATACATATTTTTTGGTTATACTCGTATTAAAATAACAGAATTATAGCATAAACAGTGCTGGATCAGCCGGGCTGTGGCTCGTACATTGGACTGCGTGCGGCCAGCAGTAACAGCCTAGTTGATCAGGCCCTGATTCATAGGGAGGCCTGGTCATGGACCGGGCCGCGGGGGCTTTGATCCCTGGAATAACCTCCAGGTAACCTCCAGGTAAACAAATTTTCAATCTGATAACTTGAAAGAAGACCGTGTTGTCGAATAGGCCTAACTCACCAGGTGATATCTAAAGCTTATGAACCTTCTGCTATTCTATATTTTTTTTACATTTCCGTGATAATGTGAAAATTCACGAAAGTGCTTGGAGATATATATGTCGTGCCGAATAGGTAAAATTGGTCAATTAGAAAGAACTCATTTAAAATTAAGTCCTTTCTAAAAAAAAATTTTATACACCCATTTGGCAGTCTGCGGGACTGTGAGTATTGTTGGATGGCTGGGAACGGGACTCTCTCTAGGCTGGGCATCCAGCTGTAACACGGCTCCTCTTTATATCATTGAGTTCACTGTGTCTGTATCTGTATGATATCATTGAGTTCACTGGAGCTGTTCAGGCCATTTAAACCCTATTGATCAGCTTGCACATCGTCACAAATACCCATATATTCTATGTTAATAGGAGCAGACAGGCGGAGAGGCAGTGCAATACAGAGTCTGTCGGTCGAGGCGTGTTCTCATTGCCGAAGTGGGATCTGTTTGGAGGAAGTCGCCAAAGTGGTTTGCACTCACAGCTTTGAGACGGGCAGTCTCCCTGTTAGATGCTGCAGCCCTGAGAATGTTGGCATGAACATTTTCAGTGATGAGATCATCCCAATTCGACAGTTTGCAGGCCAGTGCTGCACTAGCTTGTGGTGCTCGAGCAGGGAGAGTCTTCCATTTGGTAATGTTACTGCTGTAGCTAGGATCCTTTATTCCTGCTGAGTCACCAAGGTAGTCCGGAAGAATTTGTATTTACTCGTCTATTGCAATGGAGGAAGATAAGAAAGCCTAATAAGCAGTCATTGTCCATCTTGGTCTAATTGGCAAGGTTGCACTTTACTGAATAAGCCGAACGAAAATTTGTTTTTGCTATATATGAGCGGAGATCGATCTGAACATTACGACAAAAAAATTATGTTTATCATTAATTTTAAGTGACAGTAAATAAATTTAAATTAACCTTATGATATATAAAGCAGAATTCAGTAGAAAATATATGGTAGTTTAAAGGGAGTTAGGTGAGGTTTCTTGATAACATTTTCAATGAAAAAATTATATCAAGTCATTTTTTTTTTTTGAAAAGTTTAATTTCTAAGGGAGTTCGGCCATTGGGCAAGTTAGGCTTATTAGGCTGTGACTGTTGTAGTTGCAGTGCAACTATGTTAGTGGTTGTTGCATTGCTGCTTCTGAGTTTGTGTTTGTTACAGTGGTGCATTATGGTTAGCATGTGTTGCTATAGTACATAATAGATAATGTTTGTTGCAGTGGCGCATTATAGATACTGTTTGTTGCAGTGGTGCATTATAGATAGTGTGTGTTGCAGTGGTTCATAGATAGTGTGTGTTGCAGTGGTGCATTATAATTACTGTTTGTTGCAGTAGTGCATTGTAGTTACTCTTTGTTGCAGTGGTGCATTATAGATAGTGTGTGTTGCAGTGGTTCATTATAGTTAGTGTGTGTTGCAGTGGTTCATTATAGTTAGTGTGTATTGCAGTGGTTAATTATAGTTAGTGTATATTGCAGTGGTGCGGATTTGTCAGTGGTGTTTCTGTCCTGTTCTATCAGTAACGATTATTGCACTGCAGTTGGTGTAACGTTTAATCAGTACTTCACACGTCTTCGTAGCTCCTACGATAAAATCACGTTTTATAATATTTTTTCTTAGTTTAGTGATATACATTACATATTTTGTTTATAAATATCAAATATATTAGTGCATCATTGTTAGTTTATGTTTTAGTGGTGCAGCTGTGTGTGTATTTGCTGCAGTGGTATTGCAGTGCTGCTGCAGGGCACTAGTGCAGATTAGAGATAAACACAGCTCTGCAGATATTTTCGTGATTGATGCTGGGTTTCAGCTGCGTTAGTGCAGTGTCAAGCTTGCAGTTTTGTTAGTGGTTTTCGCAGTGGTGCAGCTGTGTTAGTGGAAAAGGTACTGATGTGTTAGTAGTTGTTGCAGAGCTACAGATGCGTTAATTGCAGTTGGCAGATGCTTTTCGAGTTGTTGCTGTTCTCCAGGTATGTTAGTTGTAGATGTGGAGCTGTTCAGTTCTTAGTAGGTGTTGCATTAGCGCTACTGTGTCATTTGTTGTTGCAGTGCTACTGCTGTATGAGGGGTTATTGCATTTATGCAGCAGTGTTAGTAGGTGTTGGAGCTGTGCAGGTGTTGAGTAGTACTTGTAGCTGCACTTGTGGTTCTGTGATAGTGGTTGCGGTGTGTAGAGGCTGAAGTGTTACTGATTGGTTCAATGCTATATCTCTGTTAGTGGATACTGTTGTAGCACTGCGTCAGTAGCAGTGCCGTAGCCATGCCAGTGGCTGTTGCACTGCTGCAGCTGCTGACTATGTTCTTCTACATCATGCTGTTTTACCGCTGTTTCTGTCGTTGTTGCTGCTGAAACTTCTATTGCCTCTGCTTCTTTAGTTACTTCATTTGCTGCTTCTGTTAATCCTCATTCTGATGATTTTGCTGTTCCTACAAGTCCAGTTTCTGTCATTTTCTGTGCTGCTGCTCATCTTCCACCAATTGCTAGTAATAACAACTGCTAGTAATAACAATTGCTAGTAATAACAACTGCTAGTAATGCCGGTTCTGCTGATACCACTTCTCTGATGGCGATTGTGGTGGCAATAGTGGTAGCTGGTGCTGATAGTGGTTCAGGGAGTGGGGAGAATGTTGGTAGTTGAGGATGTGGGATGGTGGAAGTGGTGGTAGTGGTGGTTGTAGTGGTGGTGGTTCTGGCGGTGATGGTGGTGGTACTGGCGGTGGTGGAGGCGGGACAACCCTCTCCGTGATTATATAAGCCAGACTAACACTGCTGGGGAAACACTCGCTTGGAGTCGCCACCACGGGAAGTGAACCACTGTGTGAACCACCACGGGAAGTGAGCCACTGTGTGAACCACCACAGGAAGTGAACCAGTGTGCCTGGAACCTGCCTCAGGTATCGTTACTATGATAGCATCATCAAAATTTTTGTCTGTCGTGCATATGTAAACACTAATTATTAGAGTTAGTTTACGACAGTTTCATTATTTTCACTCGTTCTTATCACTTTTTGATCACTTTTACTAATAAACTTATTAAATTTGCCTCGTCTATGTTTCCTGATACACAAAACTTTATTAACGACATTAAAAATTTTTATTAAAGCAAATTTGTTTTTATTTATGAAGGAAACAAAACTTATGTAGGGAGATGAATTTTTTTTTTAAATTCTTTACCAATTGCTTATGTCATTGTCAATGACGGTCTTCAGGTCTGTATTTAAACAGTTTGATAAATATTTATTTTTAATAAGTTTAATTAAAAAGCAAATCTTTAAATTTACGTTGTTGCTAACATAAACCGAACTCCTGT